CTCAACGCCAGCTGGAAGATCTGCAGTAAACCTGTCAGACCTGGAAAAAACCAGTTGTGAAGCAGGAGAAGCAGGGTGAGGGAACATCCTAGGAAGAGAGAGCTTAGAGTCACAGAGAAGTGTGAGGAGTTTAGGAAACTGAGGGTGAACTTGATTCTTTAAGACTGGAAAATATGGGGATAGAGAGACATCAAGGGGTGATTGTGGGGCTGGCTGTTCTGCACTTCTGTTGGTATATAGAAGTGAGATCTTAGCTTTAGAGCACTGGAGAGACACTGGAGGCTTCTCCTGGGAAGTGGCATGACCACACTTGCCTCTTTAGAAGAGAGTTCTGGCTCCAGTATGTCAGCAAAATGGAGGTGGGAGTCAGGGTGTAGATAGTTCAAGTTTCCCTGTGAGATGTGAGAAGGGTCAGAGGTGGGTAATAACACAGAGGTGGATGCACTATGTATTAAGATGATAGTAACCATAATTTTTAGATCATCATTGGGATTTGGGTAGACTGACAGGCAGAAGCATCCTTTCAAATTTATCATCCCACAGTGGGATGGCATTTAACATCTTCACATGTAGTGTAGCTAAGAGTGATCTTCAATTTCTGGTGCCAGGGACTGGGTTTTTGGAAGAAACTAGGGAGTTGGCATAAGAATTGTTAGAGGATTAGTTTCTCTCAAAGAACACACAGCTTAGATCCCTAGCATGTGCCATTTACAGTAGGGTTCAAGCTCTTACAGGAACTTAGTGGGATTGTTGATCTGACAGGAAGCAGAGCTCAGGTGCTAATGGGGAGGGATTTGAGTAGCCATAAACACAGATAAAGCTTGGCACACTTGCCCACTGCTCATTTCCACTCTGGGGCCTGGTTACTGACATGCTCTGGACTGGTATAACATCTCTGACATCATCATACCATCTTTTCCTTTCCTGTTCCCATGCTTAATTTTTTTGGACAATATATTTGGTACAGGGTCTCACTATGCAGCTCAGACTCGTAGTGATCTTCCTGTTTTCAGCCTCCTCAGTGCTGGGATTACAGGTATGCCCCACCATGCCTGGTGTTGGTGATCTGCTTAGTGTACCCAAGGGTGGGGCCAGTGTGCCATGTGGTGCCAGGGATTGAACACCAGTCCCTGTGCTTGCCTAAGCAGGTGCTTAGTCCACTGAGCTATCTCGCCAGTTCCACATTCTTAATCCTGATTAGACATAGTTGTGATCCTGCTTTACACATTTCTTTTTTAAAAAATTTATTTATTTATTTATTTATTTATTTATTTATTTATTTGGTACAGGATCTCATTGTGCAGCTTAGACTCATGATGATCCTCCTGTCTCAGCCTCCCCAGTGCTACAATTGTAGGCATGTGCCACCATGTCCAGTTTCAAGGCCAGCCTGGTAGGCCTGGGGTTCTGGGCCCAGCAAGGCCTGAGGTACTAGGGATCAAGCCTGAGTCCTTGTGCTTGGCAGGCAGGTGCTTAGACCACCAAGTTATTTTCCCAGCCCCACACTTGCTTCTTCTGCATGTCTGACTCAGAGTACAGTGATAGATCTGGAGGTGTAGCTCACTAAGAGCATTTGTCTGGCTTTCACAGGATCCTGGGTTCTAATCCCAACATCCTCCAAAGTAGAATTAACTACATGAATGAAAATCCAGATGCTCATGTAAAAGTGAAGTGTGTGACATCCTTAGGTCTTATTTGTAGTCCAGAAAGAGCCCTTTCCACATGTCATCCCAGATGCTGAAAACTTCCCAGCCTGCCCCTGTGTAATAGTGCCTGACCTTTCATTGACAAGATGAAAACTGGAGCGCATTGCAATTGAGCGTTATTCAACCTTTCCATATTAGACTGAACATGAGATCAAATTGTCGGTTTTCCAAACTCTATGTCATGTTGTATTATATTACTTTCCTCATGCCAGGACACAGAGCTCATCGGAGCCCAGAATGGAAGGAATCTTCAAATTTTGCCAAGTCTATAATGTGAAGAAAAAAATTAAAAACCTAAGTGAGGTATATTTGAACGTGATTGAAAACGCAAGCTCTGCCTTGGCAATGGGACAAGATGAATTCAGTCTGCACTTGGCAAGAGGCAGCTCATGTCCTGAGCTACACCTCCCAAGTGGTCTGAATTTCACCAAACCAGAAGCATGTTTTCCCAGATGCTCCCACAACTCGTTTCCAATGTGTGCATTTTGTGCAGGTTGGAATCCATATGTTTCTTATCCATTTACACTTGAATCATCAAGATGTTACTCAATGATGCCTCTGTGATTTACAGATCTCTTGTTTTTTTTTTTTAATTTGAAAAAGGAAAATCATTCTGTAAAGTGTAGACTTGAAACCACAAATTTGTACAATGAAGAGAAATATGCGTCTGCTGTTTTCTTTCTTTCTGCTTCCAAGCTTCAAAGGTGGGGGGGTGTCAACTTGCAAACACATGACTTACCAGAATTATCCCTACCCACTGCACAGGCTGAGGCTCTACCCTTTTATTACTGTCATGATCCTCCATCATGAGAAGCACATGTGTGAGTGCATGTGTCTGTTTGTATGGCAGAGAGACAGAGGGAGAGAGGGAGAGAGAGAGAGAGAGAGAGAGAGAGAGAGAGAAACAGGAAGATAGAATGCCTTACAGAGAAATTGATGAGAAGGAGGCAAAGGAAGAAATATATTAAGAGAAGGTAGAAGAAAAGAATTTAAATTTGGGAAAATGTGGAAAACTATTATATTCAAATATGCTTATTGGGAACATCTTAATATGGTCAACAAGTTTATTATCTATCCATTAAAAAGATATTTATATAGTGCCCTCTTTGTACAAGACAGTGGCAAAGTAAAGAAGGACACATATTTTCCTCTATTTTTTCCTACCCATAGGCCGGCCTATTTCTCTACTTGAATCTAAGCTGGCCTGAGGCTACTCTGATTAATGCAGTTAGGTTTTACTGACGCCATGACAGTTCTTGTCTAACACTTAAAAGGACTCATGCTTTTTGTCTAGGCACTTGCAACCTAGTCACCATGCTAAAGTCATACGTAGACCCAACCAGTAGTCTTAGTCGAGTCCCCAGGTGCCATCCAGCATCAGCTGCTAGGTCTGTGAACGCACCATTGTGGACGTTCAGCTCCCTCAAGCCTTAAAGTATAATGATTGTATTAGCATGTTTCATCCTCTTTTTGAAGCTAACAAGTTGCTTGTGCGGAAAGTCTTCATAACATCGGTGAGCAGAAATGCTTGCTTATAGCACAGAGTCCTTATGATGACTCTTCAGAAGTCTCACATCATTTCCAGCATGCAGAAATGTATAATTTTCTAGGCAAGAGATTCTTTCCCTTTGGTGACTCCATGTCCATAGAAGAATCAGTGCCTTCTTTAGAAGTGCTTTTATTTGTACTCAGTTGAAACTAGTCAAGAGAACTTTGCTAATTTCTCTGAATAGAATTCCTATGGTCACTAACCTCTAGTCATTCATCCACCTCAATCTTAAATTTCTAATATACCTCATGTACATCTAATACATTCATCGACAAATTAACACTTCATTGTAATTTCATAGTTCCTTCAGTGTGTTAATGGATTCAGTTATTTTGAACTTTGGCTTCCTTTTCCAGAAACTAACTTTGGCTTGTTCTCTAGACTCATTTTCTTTGGCTCTCAGATATAAGTCTGGAGGGAACATGTGAAAGCTTTCAGAAAGGTTGTCAACCCCCACCTGTTTTGCTTTCCATAGTTTTGCTCCTTCTCACTAGTGTTCGAGGAGTAATGATGATGATAGATGCTGGTTTTGATTATAAGTATGTGCTTGAAACTATGCTAGTGGAAGCACAGATTCTGCTCATTTTATTCTCATGGTAACCACTAGAAATAGATATTACTTTTGCTGTACAGAAAGTAGAGAATTAGAGAAATCAGTATACATACTCAGGAACACAGAGATGGTGGTGGAACTAGGATTTGAAGTCAGGTCTATCTTGTGAAATCATGACATCTTGCCTTCTTAATTGCTTATGTACATTGATTCAGACAAAGGAATTCACTTGTTCATTCAAACATCACCTCAAGAATTTCTCAGGCATGTTCTGTATTGAACAACTTTGCAAAACTACACTAGGGAAAAGGATAGTAAAAATGAGTAGGAGATTCATCATGTTCATGATCAGATATTTCTGAACAAGTGTGTAAGTCTTGTTCAAATTTATCAGCAAAATGGGCCTGTATATATTTGTTCCCTTCTTTGAGGTGTCATGCAGGATAGGCTGAGTTAGGATGTGTGAGCAAATGATCACACATTTTCAATGGTTTAGAAAAAAATTTGATTCCTTGCGCATGTTTGTTTACCCTTGAGGATTAGATAACGTCATCTTCACTTGGACATATCAGTGTCTCAACCTTTAATGACCATATGGCAGAAGCAAAAGAGACCTCTGGAGGCCTCTGTGGGGCAAGAACATGATCTAACCAGAAAGAGAGGCATGCTGCCCACTCACAGGGCACACCAGACCCACGATGGCCAACTCTTTAGAAGGTGGACATGTCAGAAAAGAGATGAACCAGAGGAAACCAGCACCAGCCAGAGCCACATATATGATAATTTGTTTAAAATATGTAAGGACTTTAAACACAGAGAACACTTTATGCCTGATATATTGCCAGTCTTATGGAATTCTGCTGAGAAATTTAGTGATTTCAAGACATTCTCAAATCCCTTCTTCCAGGCTATCCCCTAAAGAGAATAGATACTTAATAGAAAGGTTACTATGAGTTTTTATTCTTTCGTTTTTCAATCCACAGGGCAAGACTTTAGCCCAATTCTGCTGTGAACAACAAAGAAAAGCTGGTGGGTATCAGATTTCCCTAAATTGAACTTGTGATTGGCAACATATACAATGGACAAAGAATGATGTTTTAAAATCCATAAAAATAACCACATGGAGAAAGTGAATTTCAATTATCACTACTTCACTATATGTATACAAAATAATTGTAGATGACATGTAGCTCTAAGTAGGAAAGTTTAACTTATAGGTTCCAGAAGATAAGGTAATTTGCTTGTTGCCTTCAAAAGCCAGGTGAAGATTCTTAACTAGGACACAAAATGGGTTAACCCTTAAGGTTAACCATTAACCATTGGTGAGTTGGATCAGATTATAATTAAGACATTTTATCACATGACACCACTCAGTGAATAAAAGTATATGTTACATACAGAAAGAAGGGACGTATTTATAAAGCCTTTATTTGATAAAGGAGTAATGACAGCTCAATGAGAAAAATACAACTAAACAGGAAAAGGGCAAAAACACTGAATTGGCATCAGACAAGAAATTTTTTTTTTTTTCAAAGTTAAAAGCGCATCAAACACGCCTAGCTTTTATTTAAATCACAAATTTGTAGTCCCCTTGGTACACTCTCCTTGGGGCCCGACCCCAGCCAACCAAAACTAATGACCTTGGGGTGTAGGTGGTACGAGGGGTGAGAATGGGCAAGGAGTGTCTCTTAAGAGCTGGGTGGGGGCCAGTTTCAGAGTGACCTAGCTTCTGAGAAGATAATCAGTAAAAAAAAAATCAGATAAACAAATGAGGGTACAATACATATTTGTAACCCTTTCTTCCAAGCCTCTTGTCTTGTAAGGGAATCTCACATCATTCTGCAAGTTGAACTGGGTACTGGTTTCAGGCAACTGAAAGGGATCTCCACTAATCACCACTGCCCCTCTTAAGGAATGAGGCGGGTCTGTGCCCAAGGGTGGGGTCTCTCAATCTAGACGTAGGTTTGGGAAGCCAGTCCACTGTATACAACCTGCCTCTTCCGGGACAGCAAGTTCAGTGCAGAGCCATCCTTAG